TGCTTTATGCTTCCCAGGGCTCCAGGCCCGCCTTGGTGGAGCGACAGTACAACGGCTGGATTTTGGCCTCCTTGTAGGACATCCCAGTCCTTAGGAACCACACTGGTTCCATGGATTACACTTAGTACTAGTAACAGTCGACCCTTGAACAACATGGGTTTGAACTGTGTGGGTCCACTTACACACAGACTGTTTTCAGTAAATCTATTGGACGTTTATTTTGAGATTTGCGACAGTTTGAAAAAACCAGACAAGCTGCATAACCTTGAACTAAAACATTCAGAAAAAGTTAGGTATGTCATGAATGCCGAAGATATTTGTAGATACTAGTCTGTTTTTATCATTTACTACCATGAAGTCTACACAAATCTGTTATAAAAAAGTTAAAATTCATCAAAATTTATAGACGGTACATGACTTCATTCTCAGTGGAGAGAAAATGTAAACAAACGTAGAGATGAAGTATTAAAACATAACTACATAAAATTGACTGGAATAACCCTGTCCGGCTGTCCATATTTTGTAGCTAACGCCTGTTGCGTGTGTGGGGAGTTCGAGGACTGCCCGATCTGCCTGAAATGTCTTGTGTGCTAATCTCCCCGTGAACGGTTCATCTCTCCATAAATTTTGTGTCTCAGTAAAAAGTGATCCCTTGTGGCTCTTGCTATTAGTAGTTCAGTTTTTGGGGAGTCAAAAGTGAGACGCAGATTTTCAAGCATGCAGGGCGCCTCTAGCCCGTCCCCCCACCGCTCCCCCAGTCTCCTGTCTTCTGTGAACAGCACATCGATTCATCATTTCTCAGCGTGGGTTACTGTGTAACAGTAGCAGGTGGTATTCTTGCTAGTATGTTCTACAAGGGCGTGCCTGGGAAAGCATGGTTACTTATAGTCACACACAGTGACTTTTCCCACATGTTCTGGGAGCATCTCATTCCATCACTCTAGGGATCACTCTAGGGATGGACTACAGGTGAAGTAAAAGCTAACATCTGGAAACTTCAGCAGATATTTGCAGCATCCCCTCCCCGGCTGTGTGAGAGGAGTGTATTTTGCGTATACATCTAAGTTCAGCCCTCTTCCCCAGCAACCGGGTGTTACACAACTCAAGAGCTCTCATCTCGCTGCATAAAACCCATTTAGAGAAAAAAATGAAGAGGTTTTTCTAAGGATACTTTTGAGGACCCCACAGATTCTAAATTGTGGTTTGTGCTTGTAAAGTGAAAGTGTAGTTTGTAATAGAAAGTAATTTGTTTCAATTTAACTTTTTTGTTATGCTAATTTAATAAAGACTATTCTGGACAAACGTTTTCTCCCTCCCCCTCAAAACTGTGGTTTGGAGCCCTCGTTGAGCTGTTCATTCCTTTTTTCTTCTCTTGACACTTTTGTCATTTTCCTTTCCCATCCCTGGGCTCTTGTTGGCAGTGGACAACAGGGTAGTGAGCGCTTCAGAGGTCACTTCTGTGGATCAGCGTCTGGGCCTGGTTCCGCGGGTCTTCGGCTGGCCTCCCTGGGATCTCCTGGAGTTGTGATCTGGCTGCTGGACTGGCACCGAATAGCCCCAGGCAGCTCCTGACGTGTTGGGTGGACGGGTGCTGGGGTGTCTTGACAGTGTGCCTCAGCTCTCCCCTGGAGGCCATTCACCCTCCCGGGAGGCGAGACCATACTTTCCCAGGCCCGAGTTCCAAGACGGCTGGCTCCAGAGTCAAAGCACAGGACTGTGCACAGGCGTGATTAGCAGGAGGCAGGGTGGTAGGGGAAGGTCATGAGCTGTCTGATACAGTGGGGTTAGGGAGTTGGGCGGGGGCTTTGTGTTACTAGCTGTAAATAACAAGGGCCGTGTTCATAGTTGATTCTCTTTTGCGTTGGACTCAGTGTGATGAACATTTCTTTCGTGCTGGATGTTGGGGGTTCCAAGAATAAGGCAGTCTCTGGCTACTCTGAAGCTAGTTCATAATATACTCATGATCTCAGGTTTGAAGCAGAAAACATCCTGTGAGGACTTTTATTCATGGCTTTAGATGAAAAGGACAGGAACTGCTTCTACAGATCTGTGTTGGGGCCTGAGTTTGCTTTCAGAAAATGCTGATAAGTCCTTGAAAAAAAAAATGGGTTGCTATGAAGACTTGGCTTTGGGCCTGCAAACTGTGGTGACGGCATGGTCACCAAGGAAACCGAAAGATGCAGCTTCTAAAAGGTCTCTGAAGGCTTTTGTTGTTGCCGTCCTTAGCGAAGCTGATTGGCTTAGCAGAACAGTGTTGAGTATGGGAGCCGACTGGCAGAGGCTTGCCGTCCGTCCTGCATCTGGTACTAGTTGCTTTGGAAATCTCCTTGGCCCTTGGTTTCCGAAGAAGGAGCGATTTGGAGGTACTTTCTAGATTCTGGTGAGATTTGGCTCTGATGTGAACTCTGCCGGAAGAACAGGAAGTGAGGTCGTGTCTCTAGCATGCAGTCTTAGAATGAGCTGTGGATGTCTAAATATGGGCAGCTGTGCGGCTCATCCCAGCGCGTGTGCGGAGATTTCCTATCACTGGGGACCTCCCTGTTGTTGACTTTGATTCTTAAAGGTGCACAGTGGTGTGGAAGTCTAGAGGTGCATCTGCCTGTTGAGGTAGGAGCCTGGGATTCTGTTTTAAGTGCCATCTGAGGAGCCAGCTCCTGACCTTCATCAAGCTCAGGCAGACAAAGAGGTTTGAGTATTTAAGCCAGCAGCAGACGGCACGGGAGGGCGAGCTGGGATCTGTTCTGTAAGTGTTCAGTGCTTACGGGGATAAGTTCTTTTGGAAAACTGTGGGATCACATAATTTTGGAGTGAAGTCTAGCGCACAGAAGTTTGAATTGTTCAAACCCTTTTGCAGATGTGCAAATGCAGTATTTAGGTTTCCAGTTTGTACGATAGTCCTGCATAGGACTCCACGAACACAAAGTTGCACAAGAATTGAAAGAACTACAGGTAGATTTTTAAAGGTCTTTACCACGGAAGCCGTTTGGGCCATTTCTTAAATCTTTGGTTGACCAGTGACTGTTTAAAAAATACAATGCTGTGCAGAGGAGGCTGAGATAAAAGGCCCCTTCCCAGGAGTAACTGTTCAAAGGGATGTGCATGACTTTGGGGGGCAGGGGTGGGAGGCAGTTGGATTAGTCAGCTGATAAGCATCTCATACTCACTTGTCCAATAGGATTGAGTAGGAATGAGTTTCAAGTTCTGTCCTGAAGTGGGAGGTTAAGAAAGCTGCCCTATTGGCATGTCAGAGCCTGAGCTGTTTGATTCAGCGAATTGAGCTTCCAGAACACCTTTCATAGGAGAGATTCTCGAGCTTTCAAAACTTGGTCAGTTAGCAAGAATTCGTATTTTATACTTGTTAAAACCGAGGATTGGTGAATAGTTAGGTCAGCCATTGAAATCTCAGGGCTGGCATCCAGGGTTTCTTAATGTAGTGGAAAGCCCCAATATTTGTTATTTTCCTTAGAAGATATCTAGTAGGTTAAAAAAAGATTTGACCCTGATGGCTCTTGTAGTAACTTTGTATCGGGAAGGAGGATGGAGTGAAGGTGGAGAACCAGCCCTAACTTTGCCAGGCTTTCCCTTTGGACAGATGACAGGCATCTGGAAGCAGCATTTTTCTTGCCTGTGGACTGAGATTTCTTAACATTTGGGGAAAGGTCATAGACACCATTGGGAGTTTGATGGAAGCTCTGAATCCGCCCCCCCTCCACCGCCCCAGGCAGGGGTGGGGTGGGACTGGACCGGATGGGGCGGGGAGGGCAGGGTGGGAAGAGGCATCCAGGCGTCTACACAGTTGTGTGTACATTGTCAGGGGATACTCTTAGGAACCCATTTAGCTCTAAAATCTAATGAAGCCATAAGGTGATTAAGCCTTGTTTGCCTAGCCTAGGAAATTATTTTTGGTGACCTGATTCTAACTGAGATTAAAAAAAACAAGACTGCACATGTAGAAAGGTGATTTTCAGGCAGGGCACCCCCATATTCTGCTGACCATTTTTCTGAAAGGTAGTTTGCCAGTATGTGCTGAAATATTGTACTATATTCTTTAACTCAGCAATTCTCAGAAATCTCTCCTAAAAAAAAAAAAAATTCCAAAATAGAGAAAAATCTTTGTGCACAAAGATGGTTGTCAGGAAAATGCTTTTATTATAACACTTGGAAAAAAGTGGGCTATGACCTTTGGACTCAAATGTTGGGAAAAATGTAAACCATCTAGAGGCCATATGCAAATGTTCATAACAGTTCTTGCTCATTGGTAGTAGGGTTATGGGCTTTTTCAGCTTGATTTTTCTGTATATTTCCTTGTCTACAGTAAATATTCTGGAATTGGAGGAAAGTGATTCTGCAAAATTTGTAGAATATGGAGATAGTTTGGCAATAGAGACCTAGCTGGTTTAAGATTCTTGTTTTACATAAACTAAGAATTGACCTTTTACTTATACTCTTTCTTTGGACTGGATTTGAGCATGGCCAAGGGGCTTGTGCCCCGGAAGACTTGCTGGGTGGGGCCGGGCTCCATCTGCGCTAGGATACCGCACCCCACGGGGCACATAGACACCCCTGAGAAACCGCTTCCTGGCTTCACTCTGTTCGGCCACCTTCCGTTCCTCCTTCTGTGATAAGTCATTTGTGTTCGTGTCCACTGGAAACCCTTCTGGAGCAGTAGAGTCATAAAGGGGGCGGCAAGGGACACCCACCACTGCGCCCCCTGCACCGTCCAGGTGGGATGTGAGTTCCCTTCTGTTCCTTTTCTGTCCAGTGCAGAGCTGCGGAGAATCTGCCTCTGAGGCTTTGCCTGGCCTGGTTGGAGGGACCAGTGGCTTACGAAGTATGTGTTTTGTCTATGACATTTTTTAGGTATTCTAATTTAAATAAAGATCCAGGACCTTTGATTTTAATTGCAGCTTGAACTCTCTTCATATATATAATATATATAATAAAAGAACTTTTATCTGGGAAATGGAAGTCACTTCTGACTAATTTTTCTCTTTAGGATTTACAGATGGATCCAGTGGAAAAGACAACAAACAGAAGTGAACAAAAATCCAGGTAAATAAAGTCAGCTACACCTTCACACAGGTAGCTGGCCTCTGTCATACGTCTCCTTTGGTGTTACTTATATTTATTTAGCACCTGCAGAGGTGAGCATGGAATGAGAACCTTGTGTCAGGAGGGAAGCTCGGGGGTCGTGCAGCCACCCTTTGCTTCAGCGTAAGAAATGTTCCAGAAGGCAGTTTTCTCTTTGCCCAAAGAGGTGACAGTAACTTGGTCTCCAAGCAACATGTGGTCCCAGAGTCAAGTCTTGAGACGAGGCATGCCAGGAGTCACTGGCGAGCACTCTCTGACCCTCCGTGGACCACGGTTGGTTCTTGTTAAAAGTGTTGCTAGATCAGGAGGTGTTAGCTTGGGAGGGGCTCGGGTGTGTAAGAGGCAGAAAACCAGCTTTGGCCAGGAATTTTCTTGTCACTGCAAGCAGGGATCATTTTGTCATCATGCTTGGTATTTACAGGCTCTTGGCAGCTTCAAAGGAATTAAAATTGATAGCTTTTTGTTGCCATATGTATCACTTAAATGGGTGCTTAACACCATGGGGGCCTCAAGATGAATAAGACACAACTGTCCCCAGGTCCTTTGTGGAACGAGGATAGAACATGTAAAATAATACACAGAAGAGAATACACAGGCTTTATCATCCGGTGGTGTGAGGTAGGGGAAGGGCGTGTGGCCATGTTTGACCTCACACTTCACAGATATTCCTAGACACTGTTTTTCCTTGTGGCTGCGATACTTTACATGTTGACTTCTGTTCTCTCCTTCCGTTGTGTTAAGTAGAAAGTTTCTGAAAAGCCTCATCCGGAAGCAGCCGCAGGAGCTGCTGCTGGTCATCGGGACGGGCGTCAGCGCCGCCGTGGCCCCGGGGATCCCCGCCCTCTGCTCATGGAGGGGGTGCATCGAGGCGGTCATCGAGGCCGCTGAGCAGCTGGAGGTCCTTCACCCGGGGGACGTGGCGGAGTTCCGCCGGAAGGTGACGAAGGACCGGGACTTGCTGGTGGTCGCGCATGATCTGATCCGGAAGATGTCCCCTGTAAGTCTTTTCCAGACAGTCGCTTCTGGGTTCCCTGGGGTAACGTGGTTCTCGACTGGGTCGGTGAACCTGTGGCTCTAACACGCACGCTTCTACGAGCCTCTGTCGTGCTTAGCTCTCGGCAGAGGGAGGCTGATGAGCCGGAAGTTTCAAGTCCGTTAGAATAGCACCTGTCTCAGCAGCGGTGATGCCAGGTGTACCGGGGTGTCGGGGGGGGCCGGTTCCTGAAGCGGCCTCTGCTAGCCTAGCCGGGGCCTGAACCTGTGCGGGGGCATCTGCGATGTCGCCGTGCTGCAGGATTTCATACTCCGTTAGTGGAGGGGTGTCCTCGAGGTGTGTTTTGGGTGTAAGCAGGCCATCCACGGATCTTCAGATGACAGGTGGTTCCTGCAAACTGTTGAGGATGGGAGAAGTTAGAGCTGCTTTGTCTGCAGGTGGAAGTGATCTAGTAGGGAGGATGTGCAGGAGACCGTCACCAAGGGATGCCCTCAAGTCAGGCGCTGGTGCAGGAGTGGGGGTTCGCCTCGGGCAGCTGCTCGGCCAGGTCAGCCGCCGGGAAGCCACATGACGTGGTAGAGGCTTGTGGCGGGTTTCTGCTTGCTACTTGTAGATTTGTTAAAGCACAGCAATCCTCAGAGTTCGGGGGGCGGGGAAGGTGTTGGAGACGCTTCACAGAAAGCATGGAAAGGAGTCTGCACAGTCATCAGGGAGCCTGGGAGAGTTTAGCGGCCGTAAAGACACCCCCACTATTGGCTTGCACGTGATCACGTTTCTGTTTCCCACGTAAGCATCTGGCTGGCAGCCGCGGGAGAGCAGGTGGGTGGCCAGTGTTGGGGGTCTGGGCCCTGTCTTGCTGCTCTGCTGTCTTCATGGCACGGCCTCCGCCTCGTGTTGTGAGGTAGCCTCCCCCCCGCCTCCTGCCATGATGGTGTGCCTATCCAGTGAGGGGGACACGGAGGGGAGCTCCTGCCTCCTCCCCTCCAGGGCCTGATGAGGGAGCCACATCGACCACGTGGCTGTACCCAGCTTCCCAGAGCCTGGGAAGGGTTTTCAGCCGGGCAGCTCTCCCACGTGGGGGTGTTCTATTAATATGGGGCAACTGGGATCTAGGGCAGGGCTGGCCAGTTACAGCCCCGCCAAACCTGGCCCGCCGCCCGTTTTGTAAATCCAGTTACTGGTACACAACCGCACGGGTCATTTGCATGTTGTCTGTGGCTGCTTTCATGCTGGGGTGCAGGGTCGAGTAGTTGTGACAGAGCCTGAGGCCCACAGAGCCTCAAACAGTGGCTCTCTGATCCTTTATGGACGGGGTTGCTGAGCCCTGTCTTGGGAGGAGGGGCCAGGTCCGTGGACAGAAGGGTGGGGGTGCTGGGCAGCGCCGGGGGCAGGTGCGGGGGGGCATGTTCAGGTGAGGTGCTTCATTCAGAGAGAGGCCAGCGAGGCTGGCGCTTGTTTAACCCAGTTAGAGCTCCCATTCACGTAAGACTTGCTAAACGGGAGTTAAAGCGAGGCCAGTCAGGACTCTGGGGTTCCCCCGCACCATGCTGAGCAGGCGGGGCACGGGGCGGGCTGGGGGGCGCTGTATCCGAGTTGCCAGGAAATCCAGGAAAGTGCGGGAAGGGCGGCGAGGTGGGAAGCTTGTCTGGGGGGTGGTCGCAGTGACAGATTATGGGGTGTCAGCTGCTGAGTGGGAGAAGTGAGGCTGGCGGGGCTGGAGACCCAGGGTTCGGGGCCGCCGAGCTGGTGGTGTGCTGGCCTTGATGGGGTTGGGGCAGCCCTGGGAGCCGAGGTGCTGCAGGGTCAGATGGTGGGAGCCTGGGCCAGAAGTTCTGGGAGGGCCCCGTTCTTGGGAGTGATAGGCGTGGGATGTGACCGGAGGCTGGGTGGCCAAGGTGGGGCAAGGTCTGTGGGGGAGGCCACGATGCACAACGGCCATCTCAGTGGATGAAGAAACCAGCAGGCACTGTGCCAGAAGTACAGCTGGGGAGACTCGGCGACGAGCCCCATCCACCCCTGTCCTCCCAGGCCCGGCGGGCGTGAGGGCCTCAGGGGTGGCGAGGGCCGGTTTCCGGCGGTGGGAGGAGGGAACGCTCATAAAAGAAGAGGAAGATGTGGGGGTTTCCTGCTGATGGGCCCACTGGGAACAAGGGAAGGGTTTCCAGCATTGGGGAGGGACATGAGAGTGTCGGGGAGTGCGGAGAGCCAGGAGTGCTCACCACGAGGGTCTTGTGACCTGCGACATCCACAGGGACGGAGTGACCTCTGATGGACAGTCCTGAGGGCGGGCCGAGGTATTTGGTGTCAGTGCACAGGCCTGGCTCTGTCGACCCCTCGGCTGGCGCTGGCGGGGTGGCTGGGGAGGCTCCGTCTTCCTGGAGCGCGGGAAACCTCCCGACCCCATGAGCCAGCCCCCACCCCACTCCTCTGCTCCCCTCACCGCAGGGCCCCCCAGACAGGTGTGTGCATTTGCTGCCGCCAGATGCTTACCTGTCCTCGGGAGCCCGGCCCAGCCAGGCTTTGGTCCCCGCCACTCGCCCGAAGCAGCTCAGCTGCTCCATCCAGAGGCCGAATCTCTCAGCAGTAGAGACCGTACTGGTTTTCCCCTAACTGGAGATTTCCTCTACACCAGGACCTCTGCAGCGCGCGGGGAAATCTGAAGCCTTCCCTGTGGTCTTCAGAGCCTCACATGATCTGGTTGCGGATCGCCTCACCTGCTGACCTTCCCCACGCTCCTCTCCTGCGACCAGGGCCCCTTGCTCACCCTTGGACCCACCCGTGCTGTTGCTCCCTCGGTGCCTTTGCACTTGCTCTTTCCTCTGCTCGGGACGCGCTCTCAGAGGCCTCTTATTTCCTCAGTTCTCTGCTCAGACGCCCCCTACCAGAGGCCCTCCCTGGTGCCCTTCGGCCCACCCAGCCTGTGCCCCCGGCAGCACCCGGCTTTGTTTCCCGTAGCGTTGGCCGCTACCGACGTATCACTTACGATTTGTCCACGGTCTGTCTCCCTCCCCCAGGGTTTCATTAACTCGACGAGTCAGGGTTTCCTTTCTTCTAGACCAGCACCAGAACATTGCTGCTTAGGGGCTCGGTACTTGCGGAGAGAGGGTGTTTTTAGTAACTTCTGTTCCACTTCTTTGTAGCGTACGGGTGACACCAAGCCCAACTTCTTCCAGGACTGCCTGATGGAGATTTTCGACAACCTGGAGCAGCACATCCAGAACCCGCTGGTGCTGCAGTCCATCCTCAGCCTGATGGAGAGGGGCACCATGGTGCTGACCACCAACTACGACAACCTGCTGGAGCTCTTCGGGCAGCAGCAGAGCAAGCCCATGGAGTCTCTGGACCTGAAGGACAAGACGAAGGTGCGGGCTGCGGGCTGGAGGCGGGGAGGAGGCAGCCAGGAGGGAGAAGGCAAAGGGCTGGCGGGGGGGCTGGCGGGGGGAAAAGCGTGGGGGTTGGTGGTGTCTGCGCTGCTTGGGAGGCGGACTGAGCTTTCATTTTCTAGCACGTTAGTGACCCTGAGCCCTTCCCGACTCCGGACTTTGCTCACCGCCCACCCTTGTCTTCGTTATGCATTCTGTCCCACAGGCTTCTCATGTGCGTGGACTCCTTATAGGCCCGGGGTGTGTGTGCGGGGTGGGGGGACAGCTAGGGGCAAGAAGAGTCACGATAGCAAAGTCGCCCCTGGTCCTAGTGCTGCGAAGCTTGGGTAGTCCCATCCCCTTGTTCACAAATCGGGATTATGCCATATGCCATATGTAGCATTTTTATCTTGATTTTCTTCCTTAATATTATACTTTGAGCATTTTGCTGTCATTAAGCTGTGTTTAAAAGCATGTTTGTAGGAGTGCCTGGGCGGCTCAGTCGTTAAGCGTCTGCCTTCGGCTCAGGTCATGATCCCAGGGTCCTGGGATCGAGCCCCACATCGGGCTCCCTGCTCCACGGGAAGCCTGCTTCTCCCTCTCCCTCTCCCCCTGCTTGTGTTCCCTCTCTCACTGTGTCTCTCTCTGTCAGATGAATAAATAAAATCTTAAAAAAAAAAAAAAGCATGTTTGTAAATGGCAATGTCATCATCAAACCAAAGTATAATTGTTAGCCTTCCTCTATTATCGTTAGCATATGTCCATGATAATAAGTAACACTACGGTGAAAATCCTTATGCTTCCCTGTCTTTCTGGTTACTTCTTTAGGGTAAATTCCTAGAAGAGTTCTGGAGTCCAAGGGCCCGAGTGTTTTAGACAGATGATATGTTACCAGATTGCTTTCCAGAAAGATAGCCAGTTTAAAACTTCATGAGCCACATGGGAGAGTATCCCCTTCCCATGGCTTGCGAACGCATGGTGTCACCAGAAAACAAAACACATTTCCCCCATTGAGGTGAAAATTGGTGAACATTTTTACATTTTTGTTTCTCTCCTTGTTAAGGTTGATCATGATTTCATGGTATTGACTGTATTTCTTTTGTGACCTGTTTGTGTCCTTTGCTATTTGCTTCAAGATTTTATGTCCTTACTAATACTGGGCACCCCTCCCCTCCCCCACTTCTCGGCTCTGCCCTGAGGGTGGTCTCCCACCCTCCTCGCAGGAACCCAAGGCCTAGAGATGGCGCCCCCTTGAGGCCCCGAGTAAGAGTACGGCTGCGGCAGGCTCAGACGCCGAGCTTCTCTTCCGCGGCTCTTTCCCGCTGCAGAGCTTGGCGAAAGTCTGGCGGATGGCCACGTGCTTGTGGGACAGCCCACGGGGACGGTGCCCGTGCGGCCACAGGTCACACCCTCTCCTGAGCTGTTAGTGACACGTGAGGGGACACCTGCTCTCTACCCCTGAGACCGGTCCCTTCTTTGAGGCCTGCTTGCTGTTGGGAAGAGCATCTCTGGAAATGGGCTGTCAAGGGCTCATGGCGGAGGTGCCGGCCGGCTCATCCGTCTGGGTCGTACCACGAGGACAAACTGCAGCATGCGGGAGTGCCTCTTTTTAACGACTTTTGGTCTAGAGCTTGAAATCGGTGTAGAGCTGTTTGATAAGTTATTTTTTTTTTCCATATCTCTTTTTTCTGGGTGTAAACGCAACATATACACAGCAGGAATTAAAGCACAGTGTGCCTCTCAGAAGGGATCCTCTCAGCCCCCTAAAGTCACCAGTCCCGACGGTGTGTTGGGTCTCGGGGGCCAGAGGTGGTGTCCGCACGGCCGTCTGTCTGTGCCGCCGTCCTCTCCGGCCCCACGGGAGCACCAGCACCAGTAGCCCGCTGGCGCTTGGGCTCTGCAGGTAGCATTGTGAAGCGAGGCAGCTCCCTGTTCTCTCCGAGGTAGGTTGGAAAGACCACGCACCCAGTTTAGAGAGTTTCTTCTTCTGTTTTAAGTAACACGCGGTTTTCCCCTTTGTCTTGGCTTGATTTTGACAGGTCCTTCAGTGGGCGAGAGGGCACATCAAGTATGGCGTTCTTCATATTCACGGCTTGTACACAGACCCCTGCGGGCTGGTCCTGGACCCGTCGGGGTATAAAGATGTCACGCAGGACCCAGAAGTAATGGTACGGCCCGCCTTCATTAGGCATTGGTTGTGTCCCTTGGGACGTGGTGGCCACTAGGTACTTGGTGGCCGTCCGGGCGGTCTCCTGGCCTCTAGGCCCACCCGCCCCGCGGTGCACACGGCGGGCCCTGTTCGCAGCTGGCTCTCCAGGCGCTGGCGCCTCGGCCGGATGCCCTGTGCTCACGCGCTGAGTCCGACTGCCCCGGGCGGCCTGCGGGGCCCTGCACCGACCGACCGTGCGCACTCGCTCGGGGAGCTCCTGCCGCCGCCTGTGCGTGCGTGTGTGTGCGTGCGCGCGCACGGCTCCAGGCACCTCCTTTCTCTGCGTGGCAATCTCTCTCGCTTTCAAAACCTCATTTTACAACTTCATTCTCTGGGAAGCTTTTTTGATATCCTGGAGAAGACGAAGAGTGGAAAAGCTGCTTTTCAGCTTTTTGTAAAGTCTTTTATTAGCGCATTTAGAAACCCCGGTATCTTCACTGAGTCCCCGGTCATCTTGGGTCCGGCGCTCCGGTCCTTGTGCTGATCCTGGCCTGGGGCGCACCTGTGGCCCGGCGGGTGACTGGACGCCGTTGGGGGCTGAGAGAGGCCTGGGTGGACGCGGGCCCTCTCGCTAAGGTGTTGGATGTCTGAAGCGGTGACTCTCTGCTGCGTGCCTGAGTGGCCCCCTGAATCTTTGCCACCCCCTTTGCCCGGCTCCCTTGGGTCACTGTCATGGGTCCCCTCCTCCCTCAGCTCTTCTGCCCTCACTCCCGAAAACCCTGTTCTCCTGACAGCAGCCCCCTGGCTCCCACCTGTGATCCGTGGAGACACATCAGTTCCCGAGTGTTCCATGTGCACGATTCTGAACAGAAACAAATGGAAGGACCTTATTTCGTGTTTTAAGAACTTAAAATTATACATAGCCCCAGAAGATCTGAGTTGAGGGGCTGCACCACAGGATGGGTGGCCAGCTGGCTGGGTGGGGTGGGCATTAGGCTCTCCTCACTTGGAGGCACATCTACACCGGACCTGACTGGGATCTGCACCTGTTTTCCCACCTGGGAGAGGAAGGGGCTCCCATGAGCACCGAGCAGGGATGTCCGCGCAGCGTGGGCCTCTGTTTGCTCGCTTGCGGTGCTGGGCTGACGTGAGCAGCATGTCTGGAGGGCGCGCTGCCTCTCTCACTCTGTCCCCGGCGTGGCTGGTGGGAAGGGCCTGTCACCGAGCCACCTTCTAAAGGTGTAACCTGTAGTTGGCGGTCGGGCCAAGGATCTCGCTGTCTTTAGGATGAGTGTTCCAGGCTCTTCATTGGTTTTTCCATAGGAAGTCCTCCAGAACTTGTACCGCACCAAGTCCTTCCTGTTTGTGGGCTGTGGAGAGACCCTTCGTGACCAGATCTTCCAGGCCCTCTTCCTGTACTCGGTGCCCAACAAGGTGGAGCTGGAGCACTACATGGTCGTGCTCAAGGAGAATGAAGACCATTTCTTTAAGCACCAAGCAGACATGCTTTTGCATGGGATTAAAGTCGTGTCCTATGGGGACTGTTTTGACTACTTTCCTGGCTACGTGCAGGACCTTGCCACTCAGATCTGCAGGCAGCGCAGTCCAGGTAGGGGTTTTCTTTCTCGACCTTTCCAGGTACGAGAATGATTGAGTTCTTTCCGGTTTTTCCTTTTAGTTTTGAGATATAATTTACACGCTGTAAAATAAAACGGAGATGTAACTTCCGTACCACTAAGTCCCCGAGCCCTCCGGTGATCTTAAAAAGGTGTGTGTGCCAAATAGAAAGCCGGGGTAGTCGGTGTGACGGTGACCTCTGTTCACAGGACGTGAGTGCTTAAAGCTGTGCCGACGGCAGTCCGACTTTATTCCCATTTCAGATGACTCGCCGTGCATCCGATTACCTTAGCCAGGAGACAGTGCCCCGCCAGTGTCTGCAGGGGAGACACCGAGCTGGGAAAGTGCAGAGTCCTCATGTGCCCTCATGCCCTCGCTGCGTTTTACAAGTTAAAACTGCAGAGGCACAGAATGGTCTCACGAAGACTTACATCTTTTTGCACATAACATCTTTACCCTGTTCTGCTGCGTGCAACACACCTTTTTAAGTAATTCTCCTGGGCCCAGCTTTTGGGGAACTGCCAGGAATGACCAAGATAATGGAGCAGGTTTTAAATTGGTCATCCTGACATAGGGCAGTTAATGGCTTTAAGTTTGGGGTCATGAAACATGGATGACGGCAGACTTGGAAAGGTCTGGACTGGCTGGATTTAATTACAACAAGAACCGAGCCCTGCTGCACCGGGCAGGGGAACTGGGTCAGCCACGTAGCCACTGCATGTGCCCGCTGTGACCTCGAAGACTAGAGGGTGCCAAGATCACGGGTAACTGGATGCACACAGGGTCCAGTAGCATCGTCTGTCCCCACCAGTCCTAGTCAGAATTGCCGGTGGTTAGCCTGTGGACCGGCTTAAGTTGCATCTCCACGGAGGAGAGTAGAGTCAGGGCACTGGTCCGTTTCTGAGGCAGAGAAGGAGCCGGGCCAGACGCTTGCTGGGCCACACTCTGCTCTGAGTTTCACCTCCTTGAGACCTTCATTTTCAGTCCCAACATCCACGGCCACTAAGTAGGTGATTTGACAGGTGGTGAGACCAGCTCAGAGAGGTCAATCACTTGCCCAGGTAGTTCGCAGAGATTTTGGAGCTGGGACTGGAATCCGGTGTGTCCCAGACAGGCCCACGGGCCTGGCTCTGGAGCGGGGCAGAGGCGCTCCCCATCCTGCCCCTACCCACGGCCTCTCCTGCCTCTGCACGCACGGCTCCCTGGAGGACCAGGACCTCATGGACACCTGCATGAGCGCGGGCCCCTGGGTGCCTTCCTGGCCTCGCGGAGGCCGCGTTCCCAGACCCTGGCAGCTGAGTGGATCTGACAAGCTGTCGGGGCCGAAAGATCTTCTGGACTTATAATCCGTGACTGGGTCCTTAGGGACATTGTCCTTACGTTCGTGAAGGACCTCCCCTGACCGGAGAGGTGCTGTCGCAGCACTGACAGCCATGACTGTGACAGCGGGTGCCCTTTCTCCCTGTGTGCCAGGCTGGCCCAGCTGCGCCACGCGCTGACCTCCCGGTCCTCACGCTGACACTGGTTGGGGGGGGGGCGCTCGCTGGCCTGTGGCCCCCCCCGCCCCGGCACGCCCGAGCTGGCATCCAGGTTCTTGGTCACTGTTGCCCTGCCTCTCTGAGCAGACCTGGGCGCTGTCCCCGCCTCCGGCTTGAGGACGAAGAGCCTGTGAAGTCTCGGTTTTGCTGACTGTTTTCCTTTCTTCTCCAGATGCTGACCGAGTGGACAGCACCACACTGTTGGGTAAAGCAGATCTTGATTTTTACCAGCCTGGTTTTTGCCTACACGTTCCATTATCTTCCTGCCACTGTAGAACCGTGAAAGTGTTTCTCGCAGTAAATACCTAGCCTGTCGTAACCCGGCCCCACCAGAAATGGGGACCAGCGGGGCCTCGGGATGGTCCCTGCGACAGTGGAGGGATTAAAAATGTGTCCCTCCAGCGGGGAGGCGCAGCGTGAACATGGCTTGTGTGCTGACACCTGAAAATGATTTCCCGTCCCACAAGCAAGAGTCGCAGGGCAATCCGAACGAGATTCGATTCGTATTTTACCACGGGGTCTGCGGTGTAGTAGCTTCGTCCCATCCCCTTCCGAAATGTTCATTGCAAAGGTTCTGAGCTTTTGTATAAAATTTTTCTGCGTGCTGCTGGTTGGCAAGGTGAAGGTTCTTGTCGCTAGGCTCAGCTCTGGCTGTCAACGAATCACGAGCTAGGACTGCGCTCGGTCACGGCGGTGTCCTCCCGTCGGTGGCCTCGGGGCCTCGGCGCCAGGCCGTCTGCTTCGGTCAGGCAGGGTGCGGGGCGGGGGGAGGGGGGCCTCTGGGCGCCGCCCGGTGCTCGGCCTTCGGTGTAGGGACCCCGCAAGTGTTGCGCTCCGCTTTCCATCTCTGCCTCCTTGCCCTGCGGAGGGACACCTTTATTAGAGTCATGCTGTCACTTACACGTGCCTCCCACGTCCACCTTCTCTTTGGGACAAAGCGTCCCCTGTGGCGTCTGGCAGGGGTCGCGGGCCGGCGCCTCAGTACGGTCAGATTTATAAACGGGCCCTTGAAGGGTGGATTCTGGAAGAGATCAGCTTGTAAGTAAAGGTTTTCCTCTTTCAGGGAATGCGTGTCAGGACTGCGCCAAGAGGAAGCTGGAGGAGAACGGAATGGAAGTCTCCAAACGGCCCCGCCGGTTGGACGCGGGTACGGTGCTTTCTGCGCAGCGGGGCCCCCCGCGTGGTCAGGGGGCTGGCGGGGTGGCGGGCGCGGCCTCGGCTGGGAGCGTGTCTCGGTGCTGGGGGTCGCGCCCCAGGCCAGCAGCACGCCCGCCGGGTCACCTGGTTTCATGGAGCGCATCTGCCACGCAATCACAGCCAGTTCCCCGGGCAGCGCCGGTGGGCGCTCAGGGCTGCCCGCTGTCCTGACTTACGTCCCCTCAGTCTCCAGAAAAAAACACTTCAAATCCTCTTTCTTGTCCCTCCATCACGGTCTGAGATGTTCGGAAACCGGTCATCTAAGTGGATGAGGCCCGTGGCCTCCGGGAGGGGATCTGGTGCCGCTCACCCAGCCTGGCCTCCCTGCGGGGCCCAGGGCGCCTCACCTCTAGCTGCGCAGGTCGCGCGTGGGACTCCCGAGTCTGCACCGGCCCCTGCCCGCCGCGCCCCCTCAGCCAGCTCCCCGCTCCGAGCTGCTTCTCTGCGGGCAGTGCTGGATGCGTGGTCACGGACCGGGCCGGAGCGAGCCCTGTCTGCCTGTCGGTTGTCTCAAAATTGGAAACAAAAGCACTTACTTTATTAAAACAGCACAGGTATTTTTTTCCTGGTTCACCGACTCGTGTGCCGAGTTAACGGGCCCGGAGTCGTTTGCAGGATGTTCTCAGCATCAAAGGCAAACGCGTTTTTTGCTTGTTGCATGTTGGAGTTGCTGGTGTTGCTTTTTATTTTTTGAGGAGTTTCTAGATTTCTGTTTGCCTTGTCCAAAAAATCAGCGTTTCACGGTGTTTTACTGTAGCACTCTCTCTGTCATACCGCCTGCCCCCCTTTCCCGAGACCCTGACCTTCTGCTGCGCTCCAGGCCCAAGCTGCCCTCCCTCCTGGGCCGCTGCGGGCTCTTCTTTCTCCTGCCCAGGCCCCTGAGGGGCCGTGACAGCCCTGCGTGCGGCGGGCTAGCTCCCCAAGGCCCGGGGTGTCTGCAGGTGTCTTCTCGGGGTCCTTACTCTCCACGCCCGGTCGGAGTGTGGGATTCTGCTTCCTACTTTCCCGAGGGACTCCGCTGTCTTACGGGTCCCGGTTTCCTGTTGGGAGAGGGTCTGTTGCCAGCCCAGGTCTCTGTGACCTGTAGGTGACCTGTTGCTTTCCTTTCTGGAAGCTTTTAGGACCTTCTTTTTCTTTTCTCACATTCAAATTTGATGAAGGTATATTTAGGTGGAAATCTCTTTTATATACCTGGCTCAGTTTTCAGTGTTCTCTGTCTTCATCAGCGATCTCTGTATCTTCCAACAGACTGTTTCTTTCTTTCTTTTTTTTTTTAAGACTTTATCTATTTGACAGAGAGAGACAGCGAGAGAGGGAACACAAGCAGGGGGAGTGGGAGAGGGAGGAGCAGGCTTCCCGCGGAGCAGGGAGCCCGATGCGGGGCTCGATCCCAGGACCCTGGGACCATGACCTGAGCTGAAGGCAGACGCTTAATGACTGAGCCACTCAGGCGCCCCTCAACAGACTGTTTCAACAGCACATGTTCCTCATGATGTAGAAGGAAAATGCAGTGTCCCAGCACTGCTCAAACATTACCCCCCACCCCAGGGCGTCATTTAAATGTTGAATAACAGGGACCTGACATGTGACATGCTTCATAGCCCTAGATATTCTTAGTGGGTTATCAGAGAGGTGTTTAAGGGCATTTTGCTTATGTTTTCTTATTTAAAGTAATAAAAAGTTAACTTTGTTATCTAAAAATCCTCAATCCCAGTGTTTTCAGGAATGGAGTAGAGTCAGATACCCAGGGAAGCCCCTGGTGTCTCTAGATATTTGAAAAGAGATCACAGTCATGGCCGGGGGGGGGGGGGAGATGCTATGAAAGAGAATAAGTCAGAAAAGAAGAGCTCCCAGAAATTAACGGTAACGCTCTCAAAATAAAAATTTAACCCAAGGGCTACAACATAATTCTGAGAACGTCCCAGGAAGTTTTTGAAAAGATAAAGACTGAAAATGAACATGAAGGCATGAGAAAAACAGCAATCAATCAATCCAGGAGGTCCAACCAGGACGAAATCAAGGAGGAGGGAACAAAGTCGAAAGAAACAGTTGAGGAAACCATAGTTACCGCAGGACTGGAGAAGCAAGGAAAAAACTGAGTGTTGTGGGCAGAGTGTCGCTGCTGGGTAGGCCTGGCGGCAGGAGGAGATGGGAGGGAGCCTTCTGGAGGACGCTGAGCCACCTCTGCAGCAGATCCTTCGACACACATACACACGCCTGTAGGGGGAGAATGCTGTTTCACTGGCATTTCGAATACAATTCTTTCCAGTCTTTGGCATATATTTGGAGTGTGAATTCAGCTAGTGGGGATATCTGTAAGCAAATGAAAATGAAAAAAATGAAATGAGCGCTTTGATTGTTTTCCTCCAGGACAGGTGGTTTTTCCCACTGGTCTCTTTCCTGCCCCTTGTTGTCGCCCTGTCTGGGGCCGCTTGGTCACTTGTGATAGTGAAGAAGGCAGGGCCCATTGTGTTGCTGTGGCTGCGTATGCGCGGCTCCCCCTCCAGGGCCGCCCCCGGGCGGTGGGGCGCTGTGGCCGATGAGCCAGTGGGGCCTCAGGGGATCCCCGGATGCCAGCACCCCGGGCAGGCATGTGTCCTCAGGGAAGCCCTCTGGGTCCCCGGGGGCCGGAGAGCGCAGAGGAGTGTGGCCGGCTGGCGGGCTCCTGCCATCTGCGTGGTGACATGGCCCCTCCGCCCCGGCCGTCGGGTGACCACTCCCCGCTCCCGGTCCTCTAGGAAGGGAAAGGGCCACATCCGTGCGTCGAGATTTCCTGACGGTTGTATGAGTCCCAGAGCCATGTCTCTAGGCGGCGGTGGCTGCTTCCAGAGGGGGTCACTTTGAAAGTGTTTAGCGTGGGAGAAAAGCCGTAGACAGTTCCTGAACTAGAGATCCTCTGCAAACACTCCTTTAAGCTGAGTTTTAACATTTTCGTATTCCTTCTTTTTGTTGTTGAAACAGATGATGCTGGAGGGTCTTGAAATCTTTAAAACCAATAAAATCTGCAACTTGAAAACCAGCCTTCTGTAACCACAGTGCCATAACCCAAACGATGAGGAATGTTCGGAGAACTCTGTGGGGGAACTCTCCCGCTGACCCCTCCCGCACCCTGAAGAGCCGTGGGGCTGTGCGGCCTCGGAGGCTGCGTGCGAGTCCCACTGTGGGGTGTGACTGCTCGGGAGGTGAGGCGCACCCGTCAGGTGGCCGCTGTGCGGCCGGCGGCCAGCTACCTCAGGGACCACAGGCGGCGGGAAGGGGTCCCGGGCTCCGGGCTCCCGCGCCACACGCCCCCTTTGTCAGGGTGGTTTTTCTAATAAGAAGGGGAGGGTGAGGACTGTCCAAGCAACAGTAGTTGCCAAAGAGGGGAAAAAAAAAAAAAAAACTAGACACTTAAATTTTATAATTTTTATGTGGAAACGTCTGTCACCGTGGAGAAAAACTTAGAAGCGTCTGTTGCGTTGTTGAATAGTAAAGCGTGAGCCGGTGCTCGTTGGAGGCACTGCATCTGCTGCTGAGAATGGCATGTTTTGAAAAAGACCAGCTCAGCGGGCTTCTTTGGAATTACCTAATTTTAGTGACTTTAGCTCCCGGAACGGCAGGCCTGACCTCGGCGGAGGGGCCCCGGACGGCAGCTCGGTGCCGGCCGAGTCCACACACTGGCGGACTTCTGAGAAACGACAAGTGGAGCACAAGACCAAGATTGCAGCTTTTAGTTAGAGTGTAAATTCCGTTTTCCGAGTTTTTATTCTGTGGGGTAAGGTCCAACCTTTCCGTTTGTGTCCTAAAAGTCTCTTCCTCCGGCCCCCTTGGGGTTTGCACGCAGTGAGGCAGGCAGAGCCTCTAGAGGGCCTGCGGCCGTGGGAGCGGTCAGGGTCAGCCAGGGGCAGAAAGCCGCACGCCGGGAGCTGCTCCGACTGTGACCCTGGCGGGGACCCTGCTCACTTTCCCTTTCAGAGGCTGCTATTTTTGATGTGGTTTCTTGCCAAATCCCATGACACTCCCCATCGAAGGCGCTGGAGCTCCCCCAGGTAGAGAGAAAGTTAAGAAGAGAAAACACAAGGTTGGGATGTGTTGTGAATGAGAGAGAAGCCAGAGATCCGCTTAAGACTTTTTTTTTTTATTTTTGAAGCATGAAAAATCTTATGTTACTCTGGTCATAAATAAAATTTTAACTTCAACTTTGTGTGCTCAACTTTAGTTATGACAGGGCTTGATGTGATGTAGTTAATGAGAACGTTTATCCTGAGTTATCAGTTGTGAAGTCAAGTGACTACTTGAATGTGTTTAAGTTTTTTAAAAAGCAAATATTTAAGTTGTTGGTTTTTTAAAGACACGTTTACAAAGTGCAATCAGGGATGAATGAATCTGAAAGTTGGTTAGACACAGGGTAGACAAGCATGGAAAATGATGTGGAAGAGAGGATATGAGACTGGAACAGTGGAACCAGCTCAGGATGAGCGTCGAGTGCCTCCTTGCTGACATGAACGGGGAGATCTGTGGTCAGTTCTGCTAATGCTCGTATTAAAATGCAAATGTCTTTCAACAGGATTGATCTGTCAAACAATTTGAGAATCACTCATTTGCTTGGGTGTGATTTTGTCGGTGAGAAACACTGGCTCAGGCCGGGGGGGGGGGTGATGACAAGAAGGCCCTTTTGTAGCAGCGCCCCATCCGCACCCCCGCATTGTCCCGTGGTTGGCAGGAATGGGGGTACGTGGTGCTCCCATAAAACAGACCGTACTTTGTGGGATCACTGGGAGTGAGAACAGCCCAGGCAGTGATAAGGGACTGCTCTGAGCTCATGGGGCCCTACAGGGACATTTCAACGTGAAGTTGATGTTTTCCAAGGCAGAGGAAGTCTGTGATTTAGAGGGTATTGCCGATGGTTTCTTAAAAAAGGAGCAGAGGACAGATCGAGTGGCTTCTGCTTGCTATGTGCAGCTGCTAGAGCTTGGCGGGGTGAGGGCAGGAAGCGTCTGTGTGGCTGTGGTCTACTTGCTGGGCACAGGGTGCCCTGAGTCTGCGTGAAGCGGTGAGTGGTGAGCGGCGCTCACAAGTGATGGTTCTTTCTTCAGGCCTCCCCCCCCACCACACACACAACCCGTCCGCAGGTGGGCCCAGTCTTCAGTGAAGACCACCAGCACCTCAGAATTCTGTTTTATTTCATGTTGTGTTGCTTTATTTTTATGTTTATGTGTTTACAAACCCTTGTGTGGAGGGGTGACTTTCAGTAGATCACAGTGAGGGAGCTACTCTGCTAGGTACGAAATTTTAGTCCATCTTGAAATGGAAATGAAGTATTATTGCAAATGTGGCAACTTCCTTTCCTCCCCATAACAATGTGGGTAAGTAGGGAAGTCAGTTGTTAGTTACTTGGGAAAGCCTGTGTTCTTCAGTATTTTGTTAACAGAAATTATACTTAGAGAAATTTAGATTTCACTGAGGTGGACATAATTCAGTTTCACCTTAAAATATTTTTTTGTTGTTTCTATAATTGTAGTTTGGAGACATTTGAAATTAGAATATTCTTTATTGATATTTTCAATATTGATAACATTCTCTGAAATAACTTCCTATAAAATCCAGGCTCTATGCCCTATAACTAGTACATTTGAGAACCAAGAGTTTCTCTTAAAGATTACTTAAACGTACAAGGCAAGACCTGAGTGAAAATAATGCAGAATTCAACATCTTTCTGACTGGCTTTCAAAATGGCAGTTGAAACTATGGTACAAAATTGCACCTTTTTTTAACCCATGCAACGCTAAGGGGCCTGAACTTGGACGGAAGCGAGCTCCAGCGTCTGGTAGGTCGCGGTGGCACAGGCCGCTCGACTGCTCCCGTACTTTGTTGTTGAGGAGCAAGGACTAAGCATTGGTGACCCTGACCTGCCCGACTGTCCTGTTGGCTCGGGGTCACTCGCGGTCCTAATGCAACTCTTGGTTTCTTTTGCTGCCTTCTTGGTCTTCGGTGTCTGGATACTGAGAAAGATCCAGGGTCACAACTCTGCTGAACATGCAGTCATCGTGCTGAAATGAGAGAGGACAGCAGAGAGTCAGCTCTCTGCTTAGGGACGAAGTGTCATCAAACGTCAAGGAAGGGCCACTAGGGAACCTGGATTCGCACTTAAAAAGGGGCCTCCTTATAGCCACTGGTTTCCGGTTAGGTCAGCTTCCTGCTGGTGCGTTCTCTGGTGAAGGTGCGCGCGCACGCCAGCCCAGATGACCGCGCCGAGGGGCTGCTGACAGTGGGCACGAGCGTCCCACGGGCAAAGGTCACGCGCTGCTGCAGGAGGACGCTCGCTCCGCGCTCGCCCCACTCCTCACCTTCCCCTCACCTGCCTCCCTGACCTGGAAGCCCCAAACCCCTTCGCCTTGGTTTATCCTGGAATGGGGTAGAAACCCAAGTCCCAGACAGCCAGCCCTGGGATTACTCTTCACCAGGTGCGTCCGCTGTGCGCATGTGCGGTGCGCGCGGTATAAGCGGTTTTTCTCGTTGAGCTGCCTTTTTGCCAGTCTGATTTACAGAGAACCTAGGGTGGGTAGAGGAGAAAGATCTTTTTGGCTCCCCTACGCTGGAATGAGAATTTCCAGGGGTCCCCTCACATCTTGGAGGCACAGGAAGGGAAGTTAATTTTTATCTTCGTTTAAATGAAAACTCAGGAAGTAAAGCCTAACTGTCCCCAAACTGAATGATCTGAATTAGCTGCTCTACTCCATTAGCTCAGGTCAGTATTTTGAACAGCTTAAGAAAGGTGTGTGTGAATTTATACAACCTGGAATGTCTGATTAACTTGTTTTTTCCTCTGGTCCTTTAGTGCTACCCACAATGCATTTGTTTTGCCTAAAACATTCAAACATTAGAAAAATATGAAATAGGATATTAATAGTTTGCTGTGTACGTTAGCATGTACCTTTAACTGTTCTGCAAGTTTTGATTTGCTTTTTCACTTAAAGCCTATCTTTAAAATTTCTGTGTACTGCCATAGAAAAATATGAGTTTTTAAAATCTTATTTGGTTTAAAAAATCATTTAGGCCTATATTTATCAACTCCAGAAATCAAACCGTATCTCCAGACTCCACCGGTACTTGTGATGAGGTGTCAGGAAAGAACTCAGGGACACTTCTCCTCTCCCCGTTGCTGATCTTTACCTCTGGATAGACGCCTATCAGCGCATCGGCTTTGGAATATAACTCCTCTTTTAGGGAAATGATTATCATCTGAAACTGCTCTTGCGTCTGCTCTTTGATGTAACTTGAGACCTGGGGGGGAACGAAAAGCCCACATTTCACCAGCAGGGAAAGGCCTCGTTGCTGGGCCCCTGGATGGTGACTGGGCCTGTCTCCGGCTTTGCCCATGGGAGGTGAAAAGGCACTTACCTGCCTTTCTGGTAACTCAGTAAATCCACTATAACTGCAGAAATGGAAATAACTCAGATTCTAAAATAAGAGGTTAGTAAAAAAGTTGTAAATCTTATTAAATCTAGCATCTAAAACTTTAAGAATATTTTTAAGAACAGAGCTCTAACTTAAGATACCGTCAGGTGAAAATGCAATCAGCTTTCATAACAAGATAAAAACTGCCACTCAGACACTATGTGGGAAAGGACAGACTGGTATTTAAACTTCCAATTTCCTGTTTTGCTAACGCAAAGCCAGAAGTTGGAAAAATGGCAATTATATATGTATTCATAACCATAATCTAATTATTTGGTTAAAGTTGAACTCAGTGTCTCCTTCAGGAAGCTCAAATCCCAGGCATGAGAATATAAGAACAAAATGGACTCTGGAGAGAAATGAGTCTTGTTGAACAAACTCTGCTCGGAACCCGGAGAAAGATAGGGAAGAACTCGGCCACAGTTTCACAAAACGTCTGCCAACTCCCAGCTGGGGTGAGGGGCCAGAAGGGCTCTTCTCCGTCTGCTTCGGTCCCGACTGCACCAGGGCAGTAAGGACGCAGCTCTGGAAGCAGGTACGGCAGCCCTGGGTGGGGAGCGAGTCACTAGCTCAGGTGAGTGATGAAGAGGGGAAAGTGCCCTTGGCCAGGAGGGTTGGATCCACAGGCAGAAGGAACTCCATCTGGCGCTCGAGGCCATGGTGGCCACGAGGATGCGGGACTGTGAAGTCCTGGGATGCTGACATGAGTGGAAGGTGAGGCAGAAGGGACACACTTGGCTTGGAGCGTTACCTGTGGTGAACGGGGCACCCTGAGCACGGGACGGAGTGGGAGCTACTTTGGGTTTGGTCCTCCTCCATTCGCTCATGCTCAGTAGGGCAATGGAGTGGCCAGGAGGGTAAATCTCAAGGGAAGACTGGAAGTTAAAAGGGTTTTCATACATAGGAGGGGTGCCAACAGAAGAGTCTTAAAGAGTCCCTGGAGA